GAGACTTGTTTCCGCCCCTACAGTGCTTTTTTCATGCCTCTGGGTCGCTTTCACCTCGCCTAAACTCACAGTGCGAGCTCGCTTTGCGAGTGAGCTTTCAGTTCACCTAGCGACCATTACAGAAAACACAGCTCTTGTTTCGACCATAAGTTGAGAACCGTAACTCTGATTTACGCATGGTCAGAAGCATTGGAAAGCTTATTCAATGATCTGTAAGATAATGACTCAATATCATTGCTTGAATACCTATAAAAATAATATAAAAACAATTAAACTTGATGATATTTACACAATAACACAATATATACACTATAACATAAACTATACAAAATATACACAAAAGTTGAGGTTTATTGTTATAACATGAATAAATTAAGCCGATGAATGATAATTATTCACACTCAAAATCACAACAATTTAGAACTCATCAAACTCTCCCCAACTTAGACTTGTTTTTCCTTAAACAATAACCAATCAACATAAAGAAACAAAAGCAATTGGCGAGAGGCCGTGAAGTGTCTGGAGAACATTCACCCCAGCTGCCTCCATGAAGTGATGGAATCGCCAGGGAGTATTTTGTACCAGGTCATTGCCCCTTTCCTGAGTGTGGTCAGGAACAACCTACATTTGATGGCGCCTCGGATGCTGCGATAATCGAGTAGCGCATCAATATTTTTGATGTGTTCGTCGAGATATGTAGTACCGTCGTAGGTGCCTAGAGAAAGGAGTTTCTCCAATCCCTTCGGCAGGCGCATAACCATAATCTCCTAGGATAACGGGCTGTGAGGCTCGTCGTCACTACTGCTGCTGGACCAAGATGGGGAGTGGGTGTTCCGTCTGTAGATAAGATGGCAATTTCGACGAGGAGATAGGGTTCGTGCTCGACCCTTGGATCTGGGCGGAGGAGAACGCTGGGACTCTGCTCGGTGATCTCTTCTGGTCCTCTTGGGTTGCGGGGAATGATGGTTCTGAGGAAAGATGTGGTCGTGCTTTCTGGCAGTCCGGGTCTCTGGCTCCAGAGGTGTCTGATGGTTTCTTTTGCGTCGGGGAGGAGAACTCCATGGTCTTTGAAGTTCTTTCCTCGGAGGAGTAGATCTTGGATGACTGGATTCTTCTAAGGCTCAAATCCTCACACTCTGATTGAGGATTAGGAGGTTGGCCTTGTTGAGAACCTCGAGGAGGGCAGCCATGGTCGGGTCGGCGCTGGGCAAAACTAGAACTGACAGGTGCTAAGGAACGAGTGAGACTCGTTGTGATCTGCACGAACAGGGGATGGAGAAGCGATGGCTCCGTCCCTTTGTTAGTATCAGTGTTGCTGACGGGGATGAAAGCAGAGTTGCAAGCATCATGAGTGTTGTCACGGCTGACCATGATCAGAATTTGGAAGAACTTTTTTGGTCTCGAATCTATGAGGGGAGAAAAGACGGGGAGAACAAGTTTCCCACAGACCGCACCACTGATCTTGACGGCTGATTAGAACTTGAAGTGGGCCAGAGGCAATCGCCTATGATACTGGGTATGAGAGAGGAGAAGGAAGTGTATCTGCAAGGCACTCTGATGCTAAAGTAAGAATCAGGAGAAAGAAGACAAGTACAAAATATGTGTGTATTAGGATGAATATTGAATACCTGACCCTCTCGAATGAGAGGGTTCTTATAGTGCCCTCAACGCTTGGCCATTGGTCCCTATTTTCGGGGTGAGATAACTGTTTTCTGAAGAATAGGTAACTTCTAGAACTAGCCGTTGGAACGGGCAGAGGTGCCCATAACTAGTCGTTGCTATGGGCTCCAGCTTGCTAGACGAGCATAATGAGACTTTTTTCTGCCCCTACAGTGCTTTTTCCTTGCCTATGGGTCGCTTTCAGCTCGTCTAAGCTTGCTTTCAGTTTGCCTAGCGACCATGACAGAAAACTCAGCTCTTGTTTTGACCATAACATGAGAACTGTAACTCTGATTTACGCACAGTTGAAAGTGTTAGAAAACTTATTGATTGCTCTATAAGACAATGAATAAATATCATTGCTTAAATACCTACAAATATGAGATAAAAACAATTTAACTCAATAATATTTACACGATAACATAATATATACACTATAACAAAAACTATATAAAATATACACAAAAGTTGAGGTTTATTGGTATAAAATGAATGAATTAAGTCGATGAGTACTAATTATTCACACTCAAAATCACAACAATTTAGCTCTCATCAGCACACTGTTTCCATTTACGATCTCATTCACTATATACATAGTTGTATTTGTTAGGTTATATGGTCGTAGAAAACCATATGAAAATAAAGATTTGTTCACGCACTTACACAAGTACTAACATGGTATCATAAAAATAGACTTCTAGTGTCCTCCGTGAACAACCTCCATATTTTCTCTAAGATTATATTTGATCCACTCCCTATAAGAAAAGTATGAAACTGAGTCATTTTGTTCTAAGAAATAAGTTTAGTCCATACCTGTGTTGCATAAGGGTAGTCATGGAGCTCGTGAATCAAATTCTCTTTAGTTTCTTTACACCATTTGCAATTAGTGATGGTTGTTGGGTTTCACTTGTGTTTTCTTGAATTTTTCAAAATCATCTCATGCGTTATTATCCATGTGAACGTTTGGACTCAAATGGGGTCTTTCCACTTCCAAATGATATTTCAGTCAATATCCAAATCAATACTAGCTAGATAAGAAGCAAGAAATTTATAAGCATTGCCTGAAGAAAAACTCATGATCCTTATTATCACGCCACCCTAAATCATCCTCGCAATCCTTAAGAAGAGGCATAATATAATTAATCATCTCTTCAATGAACCAACTATGAAATAACTCAAGCTTCAAACTTACGTATCCATTGGCAATGTCCACAATCATATATGCTTGGGTCAAATTAAAAAAGAAAGTCCAAAGGTCAAGTAAAAAATTGACCATCGTGTCATGACGACCTCTGACAAGTGTATCGATAATGTCGAAGTAATAAAATAAATTCTTCTCCACAAAGAGTATAATTTAACAAGAAAATCATGTGCGATTGTAAGTAATTAAAGGGGGGTTTGTTTGAAAAGTAGTTCTAAAACGAGAAACTATAAGGTGGAATTCAATGCGCGAAAGGCTATTAGGACTTTATTATTGAATACCCTTATTTTTACCTGTTGATGAGCGGTGCATCTATTGGGTTTCAATTAAGTTATTATCTCATTGTGAATTAACAAAACCACTACGTGCAATTCCTTCGTGTGTAAATCACTAATTTATATGATAATTCCCTAATTCCTTAGGCCACTTCAAGGTTAAGTTAGGTGTTTTAAATGCGTTAATTCATAAGTAACAACTTCTAAATTCCTATTCCTAGTTCGTTACAAAGTTGAATAAATTGCCTAGTTCAGATAATTAAACTAACAGTAAGAAATCTCTAATTATCTAGATCAATTCGTGTGCCTGTAAGCGATAAAAAACATTAATCACAAGAACAATTTAAATAAGATGATAACATTAAAAGTACTAAATAAATCTCAACACAAACATATGATCCAATAGAGTAAAAACAAGGATCATCTCAAAAGCCCTAATTTAGATAAACTTAGCCACTCATTGATAGATTAACGAATATCATGAGTGAAGAAGTTTTCATCATCAATATCTATGGAAGACTTGTTGTCCAATGACTCCAATGTGCTACAAAATCTCCCCTTGAAACTACTTAGTCGTCACATTATCTCTAAAATTCAGAACTCTTGAAAAAGTAGCTAGAAAACCTTTAAATAGGAGAAATCATGTCAGCTAAAAAGTACTCATCACGCCGCGACAAGTTAGTATTGCACTAAGATGCAAGCCTCATCGCGCCGCAATGAGATGCATCGCAGGCGCGGGAATTCTAGTGGCAAATCACACTCTTATCTTTCTTTTTCTTCAGAACTGTCACTAAGTGTTTATTTCTACCATGTCTTAGATTTTTGCTTATTTCCTCACACTTTGGCTTTGTTTTTGGTCAATATTCTTCCGAATTCATTCAAATTTACACATAAAAATCATGTAATGATGACTGTCATCATGTCATCCCCAAATTTCCACTTAATATTATTCTAGAACTTGTCCCACACCTTTGCTAATGATTTCCAAAACAGGGGAATCATTTGTATTGTAAATAACATTCTCCATCAAGTTTTAGTTCCTACCATACTTATTAATGAGCAAATGACACCACAAATCATTAGAGTTAGTTGATAATTTCCAAAAAAATAAATTAACAGAAAGACATTATTCATTAACTGAGTTTGTTTGATGCATAAATCACCAATGTCCTTAAACATACAACAAATCTCCTAACAGATCAAATTAGACTCGTGTGCCGTCTATGTGTGTCTCCCCAAAACAACTTTTTTTTGTTAAAGTTTTTCTAACTCATTACAAATAGTTATAAGAATTTTAGCACACTACATATGAAAGTAAGGGATTGAACTTAACACTAATTTATTCAAAATAATTCTCCCGATAAAGTTCAGGCACTAATATTTCCGACCACTCAAACACATTTGCACCTACTGTCTAATATTAAAAATTTATTTCTAGCACTTCTACTACTATTATTATTATTATTATTATTATTATTATTATTATTATTATTATTATTATTATTATTATTATTATTATTATTATTATTATTATTATTATATAATTTGTTTGTTGTATTCATTTACAAAAAATCACATTTTTAATCTTAAAAGTCTTTTAAAAATCACCATTTTTAAGTCTATATATTCAAATAAAATGTTTTTTTTTACATTCATTTTTTTTGAAAAGTTTCTTTTTTGAAAATTATACACTACAAAATTTGTATATTTTATTTCTTTCAAAAGAGAGAGAGAAAATTTCCATCTTTATATTATGATGAAGCTGAAAGTGATGATATGGCGGGAAACCAAGCCTAGTTATTAGCCACAACATAGAGACCCTAATTCTAACCCTAATTCCAGGAATCGAAGAAGAGAAGTTGACAATGGCAGAGGCGGAAGAACTTCCCAAAACTATCGTACGCCGCGTGGTAAAGGAAAAGCTATCCACTTGCTCCGACGACGGAGACATTGCCGTTCACAAAGACGCTCTTCTCGCATTCTCCGAAAGTGCCAAAATTTTCATCCACTACCTTTCCGCTACGTAAGTAACCTTTCTCTCATTATCTCTGAAACCCTAATTTGCTGAATTTGAGGACTGAATTTAAGTAGGGTTTACATTTTGAAGGCAATCGGGGAAATTTAGCAAGGGATTTGGCGATTGATTCGTTGGTGATTTTTAAAAAGGGGAACTTTTTGAGTTAGAAAAAAATGAACAATGATGGGTGTTGTTTGTATGTGCAGGGCTAATGATATATGTAAGGAGTCAAAGAGGCAAATTATCAATGCTGAAGATGTTTTCAAAGCTCTTGAAGAAACTGAGTTTACTGAATTTGTTAACCCTCTAAAAGATTCTCTTGAAGGTCACTTTCGCTTGCCGCTTGCCTATATTTTCGTTTTCTATGAGTATTAATTTGTTAACTTCCAGTTAAGTGAAGCTATGAATCAGTTGATGTTTTAAGGCTTACAACATGGTAAAGTATTATCATTTATTCAGTTATCATGCTAATCTTATTTTCACTGCAGTAGAAGTTCAAATAATTGTAAAGTATGGTTAGGACTAACCTCGCTGGGTTGTCTATTGTTGATGTTGAATGTTAATAATTAGGATGTAATTAGGACTAATCCCTGCTTGGTAGGGAAAGGGTTGGATTGTTGTTGATAATTAGGAGTATTCAAAGTGTCTATGAAGTGTTTAACCTAGCCCAGATGGTTACTCTGAAGTTTGTAATCGCTAGCTAAAAGCCTAAAACTGAGCTTGTTCTATGCTGTGTTGCACCAACTCTAAGCATGGGAAAAGATATGAACTGGCTTGTTATTCAGTGTTATGCTGCACTAACAAGTGTGATCAGCTAGTGAGTAATATTTGGTTCATAGCTACAAAGAGGACTGAGACGATTTCTTGGAGTGCGTTTTTGAGTCACATGTGACACTACTTTTTTAGATTTTAAAAGAAATTTATGTTATATCAGAGAACCCTTGCATTTTATATGAAAAAATATGTGATTGTTTTGATTTGACTAATGTCTGGCCTAATTTGTCATATGGAAGGATTCATTTGTTGTGTTTGCGGTATTTGGCAGACGTTAACATTTTCTTTATTGCTTATCAGAGTTTAGGAAGAAGAATGCTGGGAAGAAAGCGACGGTGTCAAAGGGAAAGGGAGATGAGAAGGGAAAGAAAAGAAAGTTGGAAGGCGAGCAGTCTGATAAAGGCGATCAAGGCGAGCCAGCTGATAAAGCCGATCAAGGGGAGCCAGCTGAGAAAGGCAATCAAGGTGAGCCAGCTGAGAATGGCGATCAAGGTAATGATGATCAATGAAATAAAAGGAATGACGGCAATGTCATTAGTCACTAGTCACAACTGAGTCAAAATGTAAAACTTATTTATGATTCCTTGCGGCTTGGATGCTGCTTACCTGTCAACTATGTATGAATGTCACAGATATAGCTTTCAGCCAAGTTTTGTTTGTAAAATGCTAGCCTCCACTTACCCTGATGGAAGGAAGCTTTTAGAAAAGAATATTCCATCCTAAATCTTGATGATTTCTTTCTTTCGTTACATGCGTTGGAATGTAGAGGGTTGAACATGAGCAGTTCTATTTTCACACACTGCCATTACAAATTTAAGTTTAGCCCATTGATTGTCCATTTCCTACATTCAAATGATATTTGGTTGTGCTATAAGTTCATTTAGTGTAATTTCTGTATATATTTTTGAATGAGGACTTTTGGAGGAAAAGATGAAAAAGATCATTATATTATATCCAAACAAAATAATCTTTTTAAGGAAAACCTTTCGTCCAAATAATTTCAAATAATTGTAATGTGTAGAAACGAATTGGAAGCATCAATTTAATTTTATCTTCAAAGGAAAATCATGAGAATTTCTTACTCTTAATACTTCTTAGCCACCACTCGAAATTATTTAAATGTCTCTATTTTTTAGAGATGTATCTCAGGACGTACTTATTTCTGAATAAATATAAAAATATTTTGGAGATTCATCTTCGAAACAATTCAATACATTCAATACATCTCACTTAGAAGTCATTTACATTTCAATTGTATTGAAGATGTATCTCTGTGAATATTTTGGAGATACATTTCTAAAACGTATCAGAACAGGCATTTCATGTTATATGTTGTTTATCTGTGTTCAGATGAAGTATACCGTACAATTGAAGATTAAAATAAATAAAAAGTAGACATACATAATTTCAAATGGACCAAAAATGTCGTACAAAAATAAAATACCAATAAATGTCAAAAATGTCGTACAATTGAGATCAATAAAGTAGAAAGACCGTCAAAATAAAGTACTAACCATAGTACTATACGTATATAATTAGAGACTATTGTGTGTGTCTAACTACCTCTCCTCTGCCTCGTCTACCTCCTCGTCTATCAATCCCCTTGTCCTCCCGCGATGTCTCTGGTACAATAATCCCCCATGCGCCTCTGTCATGATGACATTTAAGACCCGTCTTACATCAGACCCATCAGGAAAGATACTTATGTCAATGTCTGCCTACGCAATCTCCATTATGTGACGATACCTAGGCAAGACAACATCAGTATGATCTAGTTGTGCATGTCCGTCCTCTAGTATCTCCTGATGAGTAGGTCTCAGCGGATCTCTTGGAGCAGCACGCTCCATGTACGGATGTGACACCCTGAAGAACCATCTGATGTATCATTCGACGTAGCTCTAATCACTCTTAGCTATGGTAGTCTGTTCCTCCTCCAGTACCAGATGACTCTCACAATCATCAAACATGTCCTCTATCTGCCTACGTGTCAAGGCAAGAGTAGCAGAGAGAACATGGTATCTGGGAATGATCTGAATGTAGGCGAACTGCCGCATGACGCGCTCAGGAAGATGAGGAGCATTGAGACGCGATCCGCAGGTCAACTATCCAAAGTATAGCATTATCTCGTCATATGGTCGCGTCTAATGGTGATCAAAATAGCTGTTGAAGTGCATGTCCTCAGCAACCAAACGATCAAGATAGACTCTGAAAGGCTCGACCTCCTAGTTCCCTCTAATCAGGATAAAAAACAGTAGCACGCGACAAATCCTTAGTGTACTCGGGCACACTCACCCAGTCAGAGATGCGTGGGAAGTGCTCGAGAATCCAAGCCTGAAATAAAAAAGTTTGGAACACACGAATCATCGGTAATTACTTTGCAAATATGAAATGAAATAAAAAATATTCAAAGACCAATAATTATCACCTTCAGTAGTGTCACGCTGCCTGTGATATGTTTCGTCTTCCACATACAACCCTCTCTCAACTTCAAATACAGGTAGACCAAGCAAGCTGCCCCTAGTAGTACCATAAGTAGACGATGTTTGTATAAGTGGCACTCTTGTTCGCAAAAATCACAGTGCCAACCAAATAAAGCAAGTATGCTCTCAATGCATGAGATTTGTGGAGTGCCACTTACTCATCATCACCATCTGCCTCCTGTGCTCTAAGGATCTCATCATCATATATCGTCTTCAGGAATTCAAATCTAGCATAAGCAACCCTGGTTTTATTCATCTCCTTCTCTGCCTCCCCTGGATCAGCCCGAAGATACTCTACCATCATCTCGAGTGCCTCATCTTTGATAATCCTTCCATGATATAGGAATCTCCCCCTGATTGGAAGATGTAGTAAATACGAGACATCTTTGAGTGTGATAGACATCTCACCATGCCGGATATGAAACAACGAGGTCTCCTAGTGACATCTCTCTGCGAATGCATTATGTATCCTGTGGTTGACCGTCGTGTAACCGGTCATGCCCAAGTTCTTCAGGTCAGATAAGGACAGAACCGACTGGTACTATGGTCTGAATACAGAACAATAAGGACAAATCAACTGGAACTCCTTCAAAAGCCTCTGGCTCATCTTTCGCAGTAGCCTCACCCTCTGGAGCTGACATTGGATCAACATCTTCATTAGGAAGTGGGACAGGAGGTGGGACTAAATCAGCAACATCATTCGTTGGAGGTGGCACTGGTGAAACGTGACGCATGCGGGAGGGTAGGGGAAGTGATGCGTCAAATGGTGAATCTCGTCTCCTATGGGAAAAAGAAGATGGAGTGGCCTGATGAGAAGTACAAACCCCAAAAGTAGATGGCTCTGCCTAACCAGAGGGACTTAGAGCCTCTGGAATCTACTGACTCTTCTCCCGTCGAACGGATGGGTGTTGAGCAACCTTGCCATGCCTCAGTCTGTCATGTATATCAGCCCTTATGCCTGTAAGTTAAAGTAAGGCAGGCCATTAGTACATACGAACAACACACATGAAAGAAAAAGATATACCGTAGGAAACTCTGGAGATGTATCTCCGGATTTGGGGGAAACTAAAATGTTGAAAAATTTCGAAGATGCATCACTGGAATTTCCTACAGAAAATTAAACGTTAAAAATTTTCAGAGATGCATCTCCGAAATTTTATGCAACTCAGAAGTTGCATCAATGGCGTAATGTACCACATGTAAGCTCATGAAAAATTGTTTTGATCATCATTTTCAACCAAAAAACAACTAATACATCATGGCTAAACTATCTTAAATGTGATTTCTACTTATTTCTAACCCTAATAATTGATTTCTACCCATTTATACCAAAATTCAAACATTTATCGAAAACTCGAAAAGTTTATAAAAAATTAATGTTTTGGATGAAGTTGGGTGATGTTATAGATGAATATTGATGTTCTCTTAAGTTCCCTTGAGCCTTGTTGAATGAAATTTGACTTGGTGTAGTTTGAATGAGATTGAGTTGAATTTGAGTATAAAGGAAAAATGAGGAAAGAGAAGATTCTGGCACGACTTAACCTCTAAATTATTTTGGAGATGCATCTCTGGAATATTTTAACGTTAACTGACATTTTGGTGCGTCCAGAGATGCATCTCCGAAAATAGAGGACATTTGTGGAAATTTGTGTGATACAGTATAAATATATAGCATGCGTTAAAAAATTAACAAAATCATTATTGAAGGGATATTGCTCTTGGTGATAATATATAGATAATTTGTGACCCTATGCAATCTCTGTGCTTTCTAAGTGAACGTGTGCAAGTAATGAAATGTTTGTACACTAAGGAAGTCTATCATGGTTTGAAAAGTTATAGTTAAGAGAAGTTCCACATTTATATTTCTTAGTCCAACAAGATGTCTTTTTTAAAAGACAAAACTGTGAAGGGCTTCCACAAAGACTAAAATAAATTGAGGATTTTTTAATGCATCCTATATATTACTTATGTACCATGTGAAAATACTTAAATACCTCCAGATTATGGAGATGCATCTCCAAACACACACAATCATGACTTAACGTTAAATTATTTAAAATATGTATCTTCAAACTTATTTCGGAGATGCATCTCCGAAAGGCATTGGAGCTTAAATCACGCCAGAACCCTTCTCCTTCCTCATTTCTAAAAAAACTCAAAACTTTATCAAAAACTCTCTCAATTTTTTTTCAATCAACCAACTCCTAAATTAAACAACAAAGCTCAGAGGTTCTTAAATCAATATCAAGTGCATCACATACATCATCAAAGTGTGAGGTAGAATATAAGTTTGTAAGTTTTTTTTATGTTTTGAAAACTTTTAGGTTTTGTATAAATGAGTAGAAATCAATGATTAAGGAAAGAAGTGAGCAGAAATTGCATGAATGGTAGTTTAGACATAGTGTAAACCATGTTTATTGGCTGAAAATGATGATCAAACCATTATTTTTTTATGTTTACATGTCTGTGTTGCTACCATTTACACACCTGAGGTGTTGTAGAAAATTCTAAAGATGCATCTCCAAAAACTTTCAACGTTTAAGTTTCCCAGTAACCAAAGATGCTTTTTCGAAATTTAATAGTGTTTTATTTTTTACATTTCTTTCGTGTAGTGTTGATAGCTTGCTCTAATCATCTGATTTACTTTTAATTACAGGCATTATGGCTGATAGACACGATAGGTTGCACAACATGCATCAGTGCGGCGGGAGAAAAGCCAGGTTTCGAAGGCTCCTGTTCACTCTGGCCCTGTAGAGACACTACTTTTGGGGCTCAACTTCTCCATCATATTCTTCCCATAGAAAACGGGTGTCACCTGTCAACACATCACTCCCTCCATCCTCTCGCAGGCGCCACATTTCACTTATTTCGCGCAAAAGGTACCTGAGTCACTGGGGGTGCCGGAGGCACCAGTTCCACCTCCGACAGATGGTGCTTCTGAGTCAGTACTACCTCCTACTACTACTGATGCTGCTGAGCGAGTGCCGCCTCCAGATAGTGAGACTGTTGAAGATGTTGAGCTAGAGGCA